GCGTTCTAAAGTAAAAAACGTTTTAATTGTAATAAAAACTTTATAAAAATGTCGTGTCGAGTGTTAAATTGCAGCATCCGTAGGGGTAAAGCACCCAAATGCAGTTTTTTACTTTTTTATTATCACTTTTTCGGCACGTGCAATACAAACACAAAAATTCTAAATAGTTAATTAATAAGACCTATTCTTTTGAACACATTTCAAGAGTGGTTGTATATTTTTTGTTAACGTTGTGCTTAATTTGCTATATTCAAAGATGGCTTGAGAAATTGGTGAATCGTGAAGAAAACTCGTTTTCTCACTGCAAATTCACAACTGTCAACTCATTGTTCTTCGCCATATTCTTTGTTTACCCATTGCCACAAATGTCATTCTGCGGGAATGCGCAATCTTATATTCTATCGTTGTTGATCTCTTACTGCGTTATTGTTTTTGTCAGCAGGTAAAGGCGAGTTATCAGCAGCCAGTGTAGAAGAGCGAAAAGTATGCAAAATATTTTTGTTATGCCCGAGAGTATTATAACTTTGTTCACATAACGGTTGTTTGTAACAGGCAAAACGAATCNANATAGATANAGACAAATGTNTACATAAATGATCAGAATGAAAAGAGAAATCGATTAAGCGGTGACTGTCCGTCCGTCCGTCCGTCTGTCTGTGCACACGATAACTCAAGTAAAAATTTAGATGTCTTAACGAAACTTAGTACGTGCACCTCCTTCTGGCGTAGGACGGATGGTATTGAAAACGGGCAAAATCGGACAATAACCACGCCTACCTCCCATATAACGGTAATTTTCACAAATACAAAAACTGCCATATTTTAGTAACTACTGAAGATTATTCACTAAAAATTGATATTTACAATACGTTTTAGACGAAAAATAAGAATATTATAAATTTTTGGAAAATGGGCGCTGAACCAATTTCTCCAAACTTGTTGGCCTGGATATAAGCTACGAAATGGCCGAACAATAACAACGCCCACATCCCATATAACGATAATTTAGAGAAACGCGAAATCTTCGATTAATCAGTAAATATTAAAGCTAATTTATTCAAAATTGATGCTTGAAACAATTATTTACCAAGAAATACGTTAAGATAAAATTTTGGAAAATGGGCGTGGCACCGCCCACTTATGCTCATATATATATATCTCGGTAATCGTTCTTCCAATTTGTACCAAACTCGGTGTGGTGATTGTACTTGCCACATAGAAGCAAAGCGCTGAAAGATATTNAAATCGGACTAAAATTACGGCCGCTTTTCATATAACGGTAAATTTCAGAAATGCTTGAAACTTCAATATTTCGAAATTTAAGGACGCTAATTTACTCAAAATTGATACACCCCGGCTTACCATGTAGCGGTAGCTTTCGGAAAGGTGAAAAACATATATTTAATACTTGCGGCGGGTATTTAATGTTCGGCTCCACCCGAACTTAGACTTTCTTACTTGTTTACGTTATCTTCATGCTCAACAGGAGAGCATAGACTAATTGGTTGACCAACAGCAGCTGCGAGGGAGTTAGCACCAACAATACCATCAGATGCAGTAGCAGCAGCAAAAGAAGTGGAAGAATTCACGTTCAAGGGCTATTTAATTTACTGAGGTCAGCGACCTTAGATCTTGAGCGGGTAGTTCTGAAGTTTACATTTTCTGCTGCATCGCTATTATTCGCGTTGTTGTTAGCCACTTTTGATGATAGGAGATTTTCCGAATTATCGGCGACTTTTTCTACACTAAAAGCAGCCTTAATTTCTTTTATGGAACACGTAGCATTCTCGAACTTAGCCAAGCAAAAAGAGATATTCACATAGCAGCAGGCATCACATTTAAACATCAGATTTTTGTTAGATTTTAAGAGTTTAAAGCTGGCGGAAGTTACCTTTGCGCATTTCTAATGAAAATTCTGCAAACAAATTCCGCATGAAACAAAATCACAACCACGCACTGCAAGCCGCAATAAGAGCAAAAAGACATCGCGAAAGTATTTACATATGTTTGGGTATATGCATAAATATGAAGTACACGACGGAGCTAAGTAAAAGTACGTCCGCACTCAACGACTGTTTTGATTTAAATTACTCTCACGAATTCTGCTGCAATCGCCGCAATCTTGTATTCTATCATTCTTGGGTGCGATGCGTATGCCAATTAAAGTTCTTATAAGAAAACTCAAGAGCACAGAAGTGCGTTTTCTGTTATAGGAGGGCCAAGAATCCTAACTGTCCCACAAGATGAAAAGTTTTCCGGTACAGTGGCTAAATGAGTCGTGTGACCTCATTCAAATGCAGCAATTGACATACCTACGGTGATCTTTCCTTGTTAATTCGCCACTTTTACAATTCGTTGTAGTTGTCGTGTGTAGCAGACCAACCACACGGGGTTTCTGTTCATTTCGGCTGCAGCGCCATCCATTGGGTCCATTTTCTGCAAAACCATTGCTTACCATAAAATGAATATGTGTTATGAATTTCAACCTCGACTCCAGCGGCACTCAGCGGGTCAATTTTAACCTTCCTTTTATTAGCTCGGGATGTAACTATGTAATATTGATGCGCCTAAAAGATGCAGCGATTTCTATTCTCAAGTTACATACCTGATGACAGTACGAATGGCAATTATAATAGGGAGGTTTTAGTTTTTTAAACTATAATTTTATTATTAAAAGAATTTTCCATCATACAGGTACGAAGATCACATTTAAAATTTGAATGAAATCGGTTACAAAAATTCGATTTTTATAATTACTCCCAATTTAAATAGAAATAATCCAAATAAATCCAAAAAATTTATACTCCAGCACCACCTAGCGAGTTTTCAAGTAGCATTTAATAGAACCACATATGTATGTACGATAGCCTCCGATAATCTGACGGAACTCTATTCAATGGTTTTTGAGTTTAGTCCGAACAACGAGAACGGCTATCACTTTCTGCAAATAGATATGTAGATACTACAGTCTATAGCGAAACTCGTAAAATCAAAGCTCCATTCTATGTGAAAAATTTAAAAAAATTCTTCAAAATTTTTACATAAATTTTACCTTTTAATTAAATTCAAAACAAAGTTACAATAGTTCAATGGGATTTAGAAATCTAGCAAAAAATGGTTCCAAATCGAATGATACTTGCACGTTTACGTAAATGTATATCGATCCAGCCTTTCCAATGATTACCACTTTTCGCCATAAGTACGGTATTGATAACATATGTAGCTGTGCCAAATTTCAGAAAATTAACGTGCGCTTTTCCAGAGTGAAGTGGAATGAGAAGCACTTACCACTTTCGCTACATACCGAGTAAATTTTTACAAATTTAAATGAAAACAATTTTTCAAGCAGCTGGCAAATCCCCTAAAAATATTTTCGGCATTAAAATTTCCTAGCCTCTTTAGATTGATGCCAATATTGCAATATTTAATTTATGCTATCAATTCAATTAAAGTTTTCAAATACGTGGCCACATTCCACAAAAATATTTTCAGCTGTAAGCCTTTGTAAACCTGTTTCTTTTGACAGTCTTATTGCAGTATTTAATTTACCGTATCAATTGACCTAAACTGAATTTTTTAACACAGGTGGCAACTCTCTAATTTTTTTCTTATATATTGTAAGCTAGATCTCAAGCGATACATCGGCGAAAACTGCATTCAGTTCCATGTTTTCGAGTGATGCGAGTACAAAACAAATATACAGACAGACAGAGAGTCAAAATTATAAAAATTGTTTATTTGGCTTCTGTAGCTCTAACAAAAACACACCATATTAATTTTTCTTGAATATCTATAAGGTGCAGACATCGGCCTGTTAAAATTTTATTATAAGTATAAATATAGATTTAATTTATTTTATACAATAAAATTTATCAAACAGGTGGCAACCCTCCCTAATGATATTCTCGGCAGTAAAATTTCCCAAGCCTCTTCAGTTTGATACTCATATTGCAGCCGTCAATTTATCTTATAAATAAATTTAAAATTTTCAAACAGGTGTCAACACTAAAAAGTATTTTTGGCTATAAGCCTTCTTAAGCCCCTTTCTTTTGACGCCTATATTGCAATATTCACTTTTTCTTATCAATTTACTTGAACTGCAATTTTCTTTCTATATTTTAAGTTAGACCTCTAGCAATACATCGGTGAAAACTGCATTCAAATCCATGCATTCGTTTTCGAGTGATTCGCGTGCAAACATGCAGACAGGCAGACAGACAAAAAATCTAAAAATGGTTGATTTGACTTCTGGTGCTCTAATAAATACCCTCCACATTAATTTTTCATTACAGACCTCGATCTGTTACAATTTTATTATAAGAATGTATAGATACATATCGCACACTGTCGTCAAAAGGGGCACAACTAAAAAATTAGATGAGGAAATATAATGCTTGTGGATCGTACAGATTCAACGCAATTGATGCAGAAACAGTATGTATAACATTAGTTTTCGAGTTAGAGAATATAACCATGAAGAAAAAAATATTTTCATTAATTTGTGAAAAATCCTTGTTCCTGTTTTGAAGACGGTGTTCGAAGTGTATGTATATCGTATACACGTAGCATGTTACTAAGAATTAAGTATTTGTGCATGTTTTACCAGATTAAAATGTCTCATTTTATTAAGTCGATAAAATATTCGACCCTTTTCAAACTTATATTTTTGCGTATATATTAAACCATAGGATGGAACAAAAACCTCCTTTCAATTGTATAATACTTTAGCAAATATAAATATNGTAGTGCGTTTCTGTAACTAATGCGATATTATATCGCAAATTCTGTCAGAACGCGGTATCGCAAAGTTCATATCGCAAACGATAAACGAAGTGTTTCTGTAACTAAAAAAACTCACCTTGCGATAAATTGGTGGTGAGTATTGTAAAAATTACACGAATTGCCAGAATGAAGAACATATGTTCTTGTATAGTTGTGAGAAATTGCAGTAAAAGTAATAATTTTTATATATTTTGATTATTTAAATCATTTAAAATATAGAATGATGGTTGCACATCTACTTGCATTGGCTGATGATCAAAGGAACATGTTGCGCGTTCATAGGCGCTTTTTAAGGGATAATACTGATCCATTTTATTTGCCAGAAGCGCGTTTCATTGAGTTATTTAGATTGAATAAGGAGTCTGCGCTGGAACTTCTTGGTGAAATAAGTCCGTATATGAAGGATGGTATACGAATAACTTTTGTACCAAAGGCTATAAGGATGGTATCGGCATTGCATTATTATGCTACTGGATCCTTTTTAAGAGATATCGGGCAAGATTTTGTGTGTCCACTAAGTAAAACTACGATTTGCAGATCTATTAATGAAGTGACTCTTATCATTCAAAATAAGATAATGATGAAATACATTAAATTTCCAACTAGTTTGGAAATGAAAAATAGAATTCGACAAAGGTAATAATACATATCGTTACCTTAATTCACAAAGGCGCTAACCAAAACTTTTTTTTCGAAACTGCGTTTTTCACAGATTTTGGCAGTATATATTAAAATATACCTTCAATAAAAATTTTAAAGTGTTAGTCCCAAAAACAATGGAGTTAAATGCCACTTTTTAAAAAGCTCTTTTATGTTGTTTTTGCATCTCCTGTAAAATAAAAAAAAATTGTTGGTTCGGGCCTTTGTGAATTAAGGTAATGATATATGTATGTACATTAGAGTGGTCCAAAAAAATAAAGTCGGAATTTGATTGCCGGCACCCCTAGGATTGTTCTACATCGAAAAAAATTTACCCCTATTTTTTATTTTGAAATCAAAACATATTTAGGCAGTACTCAAACTGCTCAAAGTTTTCCATGTATTTTACATGAAGAAAAAACAATTTTTCGCAGAAATGGTATAAAACTCTTGAAAATCAATATTTTTCGATCGGAAAACTGTGGTTCTCTTAAGGAGACTTCCAGTATCAATATACAATTGTTTATTTAACCATTTTGTATGCAATTGCCTATTATTACTGGGAATCTCCTGAAGATAAGCAGTGTTTTTCGATCGAAAAATATTGATTTTCAAGAATTCTACACTATTTCTATGAAAAGTTGTTTTTCCCCATATAAAGACATGAAAAACTTTGAGCGCTTTGAGCACTCCCTAATTTTTTTTATTTCAAAATAAAAAATAGGGGCATATTTTTTTCGGTATATAACAATCCTAGGGGGTGGCGGCATTAAAAATCCGACCTTATTTTTTTATAAACATTTTTGGACCACTTTAATGTACATACATAAGTTTTCAGAGTATTTTTATTCATAACAAACAAACATATTTTAGGTTTTTCAATGCTACTGGTTTTCCGGGCGTGATAGGTGCAATAGATTGCACACATGTTAAAATAAAAAAACCATCTGCGGAGGATGAGTATTGCTATATTAATCGCAAAGGCTTCTTTTCAAAAAATGTGCAGCTGATTTGTGACTACGATTTAAATATTTTAGCTGGGTATGCACGTTTCGGGGGAAGTACACACGATGCATTTATTTGGGAAAATTGTAAAGTTAGGCAATTAATGCAGCAACAATATGAGCAGAACATATACACGTGCTGGCTTATTGGCGATTCCGGATACCCCCTTCAGCCTTGGTTAATGACACCTTACCGAAATCCTGAAACTAGGGGCGAAGAAAATTTCAATAATCACCACATACAAGCTCGTAACTGCATTGAGCGATTGAATGGTGTATTAAAAAAAGTATTCGCGTGTTTGTCAAGTGATCGCGGCATTCTTTTCAACCCAGTTTATTCGGGCGCTATCATCAACGCTTGTCTTACGCTGCATAATTTCAGAAAATTGCACAATATGCCTATGCCCGAAATAAATTATACCCAAGATACCAATATAGATATAGGTGAGCATGAGACCATGGAATCTAATGCTACAATCTTGCAGGATGCACGAAGGATTCGCGAAAACCTTGTTAGAAACTATTTTAATTAAATTTATTTATTTAGCATATACACGCGGGTTTCAACCGACACTATTATAAAAATATACTTTTGACGCAGCTGTATGTTTATAAGCGAATCCAAACCCATCAAGTTCTCCTGGCGTTATATGGTGACCAACAAACTTATATTTGATTTTATTAAGTAATAATTAAATTAAATTTTACTTATTTAACATGTGACAACCCTTAAATCTGTTTGTCCACGTTATATACTACATATATAAAAATAAATGTATTATATTATATTATATAAATACAGTACCGGTCATACCATTACAACTCAAATTCAAAACCATATAAACCCAAGTTTAAAACTTTATAGAAAACTTAAGAGGTTCAAAACATCTTCATTTGAATTTCAAACTTTTTTCTCAGAAGTTTTAACATTTTTTTGAGTATACCTACAGTTTTTATTGATTCTTATTTCATTTAAGTATAATACTGTGCAAGTTTCTATTGGCTAAAAATTACCGTAATAGGGGCGGCTAATATTTCGAGAACTAAAGAAACCGTTTTTCAAAATGTGGAAAGTTAGTTGAAAGACCTTTCCTTTAATATGTATATATTTTTCGAGAGAAGATAAAAAAAATATGGCATTTTTTAATAAAGATGTGTGTTTGCGGCTCTTTTTTCTTGTTTATATGAAACGATATTTAATATACATTTAGTGAAATATCATGTGCCGAAGAATTTTTGTTACAAATCATACATACAGTATCGGCAGAAATAATAGACTCGCCTTACGTTGAAGAGTTTTGGCTATTATTCCATGGTTTACTTTATGTTTAATATTTTTTTATAAAAGCCTGGCTAGCTATACAACAAACACCATATAAATGCCCTTTTCAAACTTTATACAAAAATTAAAAAAATTTTACTAATTTTCACCAAATTTTCAAACTCTTTATTCAGAATTTTAGAAAAATTTTTGGTATGCAGTTTTGTAGCCCATCCAGTTTTAGTATAATAGAGTGCAAATTTCAAGTCACTAGAAAATACCGTTAATTTTTGAAAATTTTGTTTGATGACGATGCTAGGCATTCCCTTCCATATAAAAAAATTGTCGAGTACACTTTGTATGGGAAAAAATGCGTGACATCGTCAGCAAACAAAAAATTCTTAAAAATCAACGGTATTTTTTAGCTAATTGAAACTTGCACTTTATTATACTAAAATTGAATGGGCTACAAAACTGCATACCAAACATTTTTCTAAAATTCTGAATAAAGAGTGAAAATTTGGTGAAAATTAGTCAAATTTTTTTAATTTTTGTTCAATGTTTGAAAAGCGCATTTATATGATGTTTGTTGCATAACTACCTAGGCTTTTATAAAAAAATATTAAACATTAAAATAAATATAGTCAAAATTCTTAAAAGTACGACGAGTCTAATATTTCTGCCGCCAGTGTATATCAAATTAAAGGTATTTTTGTGTGTATCTTTTAATATAATAAATTGCGTGGAAAACATGTTGCCATAATTTCGTTGTTTTTATCGAAAGATATATGTATTATATATACATACAGATACACATATCAAATGAAAGGTACTTCAATATTTTTCCAACGATATCCCTATTTTGAAAATCGGTTAAATAATTTTCGAAATATAGGATTTGAAAATATTGAAAATTCAGCTTCGATCCAAGCGACGCTCATGCATATTTGTAATAAACTTTGCTTTATTTCTTAAATATAATGAAGTCTAAGAAAATTACTCACTTTATTGTATTTTATTTATTAATGTTAAAATATTTGAATTCATTTCCTTGAGTATATTAATAATATCATCTAATTTTCTCATATGAACTTCGTTCTGAGCTGACAGTTCTTTTTTGACTTCTAGCAGCGATGAATGAAATGTCGATTTGGATGCGCAGATATTGAACTTCTTCTCAGCAGAAGCGGCCTTAGACGTACTTGGCATTTCGTCTTCGATGAGATATTCAGCCAAGTACTCGTCTTCGAGTGTATCATCCACGTTCTCCTTAAATACAAAAAATTTAAAGTATTTCAAATATATTTACGCATGCACAAATTAAAAAAAAATAGTATACCTCATGGACTCCGGCTTCAATTGTTTTACCATCTCCATCAAGGACATGGTTTCGGTCCTTCACTGGCAGGACGGTTGCCGGTCAAATTTTTGAATCTGTTGTAGGCACTTTGTTGCTTCTTCACTGCAACCTTCCAGTCCGACCAACACTTCACCATTTATAATTAAAAAATATGCTTTGGCATTAAACCAATAAATATTTTGCAGTTCATACCTTCTTCCACTGTTCAGCGGTCTTGCATGCACCTCCGCATGCATTTAGCTCCCCCCTCACAGTTACAGAAACACTCGCTTGCGATAAAAGTGAAAAAGCGTTATATTTTACGATATTGGGTGTATCGCAAGGTTACAGAAACGCACTACAGATATATTTAGAGCCAAACTTATGATGTACGTTTTTAAAAATTTATTGAATAATTTTTATATTTCTTATTAGAATTGAGTGGAAATTTTAGAGTTACATATGTGAAAATTGTAAACAAATGTTCTGTCTAAAAATGTGGTCGATTTTAAGCCTTGTGGTAGATGTGGTAGAAACCCAAATTTTTAAAAATATGTGGTATATATGGCGCCCCGCCAGAAGAAATTAAATATTGCGCCTAAAAATATGCACTACATACGCTACAGCGGAAATGGACGATGCGCCATTTCTTTAAATGAAAAACGAAATCCTGTTATATGCATGTAATATTAAAGCTAATTTATTAAAAATCGATGCTTGAAACAATTCTTTACCAAAAAATACGTTAATGATCAANCGTTGAAAATTATTGAAATCGGACTAAAATTACGGCCGCTTTTCATATAACGGTAAATTTCAGAAATGCTTGAAACTTCAATATTTCGAAATTTAAGGACGCTAATTTACTCAAAATTGATACACCCCGGCTTACCATGTAGCGGTAGCTTTCGGAAAGGTGAAAAACATATATTTAATACTTGCGCCGGGTATTTAATGTTCGGCTCCGCCCGAACTTAGACTTTCTTACTTGTTTACGTTATCTTCATGCTCAACAGGAGAGCATAGACTAATTGGTTGACCAACAGCAGCTGCGAGGGAGTTAGCACCAACAATACCATCAGATGCAGTAGCAGCAGCAAAAGAAGTGGAAGAATTCACGTTCAAGGGCAATTTACTGAGGTCAGCGACCTTAGATCTTGAGCGGGTAGTTCTGAAGTTTACATTTTCTGCTGCATCGCTATTATTCGCGTTGTTGTTAGCCACTTTTGATGATAGGAGATTTTCCGGGTTTTTCGGATTATTGGCGACTTTTTCTCAATTAAAAGCAGCCTTAATTTCTTTTATGGAACACGTAGCATTCTCGAACTTAGCCAAGCAAAAAGAGATATTCACATAGCAGCAGGCATCACATTTAAACATCAGATTTTTGTTAGATTTTAAGAGTTTAAAGCTGGCGGAAGTTAGCTTTGCGCATTTCAAATGAAAATTCTGCAAACAAATTCCGCATGAAACAAAATCACAACCACGCACTGCAAGCCGCAATAAGAGCAAAAAGACATCGCGAAAGTATTTACATATGTTTGGGTATATGCATAAATATGAAGTACACGACGGAGCTAAGTAAAAGTACGTCCGCACTCAACGACTGTTTTGATTTAAATTACTCTCACGAATTCTGCTGCAATCGGCGCAATCTTGTATTCTATCATTCTTGGGTGCGATGCGTATGCCAATAAAAGTTCTTATAAGAAAACTCAAGAGCACAGAAGTGCGTTTTCTGTTATAGGAAGGCCAAGAATCCTACCTGTCCCACAGGATGAAAAGTTTTCCGGTACAGTGGCTAAATGAGTCGTGTGACCTCGTTCAAATGCAGCAATTGACATACCTACGGTGATCTTTCCTTGTTAATTCGCCACTTTTACAATTCGTTGTAATATTTATGAACTGATTTCTAGGTAGATACAAGATCGCATGATCGTGCATGACAAACTTAACCCCATCCTTCATTTAGACATCTGAAAACTAAATTCGTATAACTTAAACATAGGGCCAAAGCAGACCAACCACACGGGGTTTCTATTCATTTCGGCTGCAGCGCCATCCATTGGGTCCATTTTCTGCAAAACCATAGCTTACCATTTGTGTTATGAATTTCAACCTCGACTCCAGCGGCACTCATCGGGTCAATTTTTAACAAAAGAATTTTCCATCATACAGGTACGTAGCTCACATTTAAAATTTGAACAAAATCGGTTAAAAAAATACGATTTTTATAAATAACTCCAAATGTAAATAGAAAAATATTTTCAGCTGTAAGCCTTTGTAAACCTCTTTCTTTTGACAGTCTTATTGCAGTATTTAATTTACCGTATCAATTGACCTAAACTGAATTTTATAACACAGGTGGCAACTCTCTCATTTTTTTCTTATATATTGTAAGCTAGATCTCAAGCGATACATCGGCGAAAACTGCATTCAGTTCCATGTTTTCGAGTGATGCGAGTACAAAACAAATATACAGACAGACAGAGAGTCAAAATTATAAAAATTGTTTATTTGGCTTCTGTAGCTCTAACAAAAACACACCATATTAATTTTTCTTGAATATCTATAAGGTGCAGACATCGGCCTGTTAAAATTTTATTATAAGTATAAATATAGATTTTGTTTATTTTATACAATAAAATTTTTCAAACAGGTGGCAATCCTCCCTAATGATATTCTCGGCAGTAAAATTTCCCAAGCCTCTTCAGTTTGATACTCATATTGCAGCCGTCAATTTATCTTATAAATAAATTTAAAATTTTCAAACAGGTGTCAACACTAAAAAATATTTTTGGCTATAAGCCTTCTTAAGCCCCTTTCTTTTGACGCCTATATTGCAATATTCACTTTTTCTTATCAATTTACTTGAACTGCAATTTTCAAACAGGTGGCAACCTTTTCTTTCTATATTTTAAGTTAGACCTCTAGCAATACATCGGTGAAAACTGCATTCAAA